GAGGAGTTTCCCCCTCCTCGGATGAATCCATATTATATTAATATATAATTATATATATATATATATATATATATAATTATATATAATAATACATTGTTGTACAGCACATCTCAAGAAGTACACATACTTTGCTAACTGTATGCCCAAGAGGGCAGTATTCTCTGTGATCCACATGGATTCAATATGTATGATGTTTATCCAGTTATTTCTGTCATTTATTTTCTGGTTGTGAGTTTACATGTGTACAAATCAATGTGTGCATGTCTTTGAACACCCACTGGAAATCCAAGAAATAAACCCTAACATCAGAGATCACATAAAACAGAAGACAGCCTGTCGGTTGTCTGACTACATAAGCCATCAGATGTCTTAGCTGAGTGCCCTGGTTCATGTTAGGATGATACTTTTTATTGTGTTTGTTGAATCATGCTGTTGCAGAAGTATTTCCCAGAAATAGAAGCCATTATTCATGTTCTCTTGCTTTCTAACAAATTCTAAATATGATATATATTTAAAATGAAATAAATCGATACAGAATAAATCTTTTCTTTAGGATAATCCCTCCCCAATCCAGCCACTTCCTTCCATTTCAGAAGGCTTTAGGGTAGTCTATCAGGTTGAAGTTAGAGTTTGGTGAACTTTTGTATGAGAGGTCACACTCAGCTAATCCTATTTGTAATCAAGGCTTTATTCTTTCTCTGGTCCAGAAAAGGACCATGTTTTCTTTGGAGCAATCACAATCACAGTCTATTGCCTGGGGTCAAGCTGTATGGAGTTATTTAGCATATTAAGTATGCCTGTTTGTCGTTTGAACCACGCTCACCATGCTTTGATGATTAGCCTGTGGCTTTGTTTCCGCGTCAAGGCTGCTTTTGTCGAGGTATGGTTGTAGGGGTTGTAAAGATGATGTGATAACTGCTGTTGTTTAGATATTTGGATTAGGAGTAGGAAAGATAAATGTAAGAGCTGAAGTGTTGTTTTCAGGTCCAATTGATTTATGTTATGTTTTTGTTTAAGCCAGAGCATAACACCCTGCCTTTAAATCTTATCTTTGAAATGTAACTCTTAACCTAATGCAGGACATTGTACTTTTTCCTGCTATAAAGATGATTAATCCATCTTTGTGTTTGTCCTTGCCTTCCTCTCTGTCTGACTCACTCTGTAGCCCCTGCAGAGCCGTTGCTGTGCAAGTTTGCTGACGGAGGCCAGAAGAAAAGGCAGACGCAGGTCAAGTATCCCCAGAATGGCCGACCGTGGACACGGGAAGGAGAGGTGAGGCTTAAAAGGGTATTTAATCATTAAAAAAAAGCTCATCAGTACACACGGAAAGATCTCCTTCAGCAGCCACAGCTGCTTTTTCTTTAAAATTCAAGTGGAAAAGGAAAATATTACACAAGAACCATGTCTTTCAATCAGTCTGATACAACATAATCCTTTTACCCTTTGCCACTATAAAAGAAAACAACATACGATTTTTCCGCAGGTAGAATTATGCTGCAGTGGACATTTACTAAATGTACAAAGCCTCTCGCTTCTCACAGTCAGAATGTGTCTACTGAGAGGGGTTTTAAGAGGAAATAGTAAAGCCATCAAAACAAAAAGTGCTGTTATTCTAACTTAGTCACCGGTATGAGTGCAGTATATCCACAAACCTTCTCTAAACCTTTTCCTACTCAGCTTTCTAGCAAAAGCATAACAAGTAAATAGTGAGAGAAGTGAGAATGAAATACTGTTGCATAGAGTACAGCAGATTGTACATTTCACAGAAAACCTATTACAATAGGTCTAAAAAGTCCTAGTTTTAAACTATAAATATCTGGCTGATGTTTCCTTCGACATTGCTTTCTTTTGCGCATTTTATAACAAAGTTTCAATGGCTTGACAGGCCCCCCTACAGGGTCATTATCAACTTTCATTTCCAATAACATATTGTAGGCCGAATTAGAGATACTGCTGACAGTATGAAAGCTGGCATATGTAAAGGTTGTTGAATTTAAAATACAAGGTTTCTTCTAGACCCCAATGCCAAGTTGTTTTTCCTTTTGTTGAAACTCCCACCTCCAGTCTGTCATCTTCAGAAGAAATGAGAACCTTGCACAGCGGATTGAAAGCAGATTGACTGTTGCACAATGCAGGGAGTTCAGAAGTTGTTAGTGTCGATACCAAAGCTTTAATTTACAGAACAAGGGAAAGTGAATAATAATGTTGCCACCCACACAACGAGTGCAGTTTTTAACAGTTTCCCAACATTTGCATTACATGGAGGTTGGGAAAGAGCAGGGTGGTGAAGTGAGATGAAATGGAACCAGGCTGAAACAACTGAGCGCTGAAACAAGAGCCGCCACAACAAAAACAGGATGCCACAGTACGTGCATGACCCTCATGTGTGTCTGCGTGCAGCAGATACAGATTGCAATTTTAGTTTTTATTTGTGAGGGCGAGAGTAACAGATCACATCAGGGCTTTGTTAACATTGGAGGTCCTGTGTTAGTAATTAATTTTTTGTGTCCTGTTGTCAACATTTGTAATTTGTCAGCTGGACTTGGGTTGGGGGATTCCTCACACATTTGTCCCACTTGGCCTAGCTGATGCAAAAAGCATCTCTTCAGAGGTTTATGCATTGGAACTAGGTTTCCATGTCCAGACAGAGTACTGTAGTAGATACATCTGGCTGTGGAGGTGCTTTGATGGGCCTCACTGCATCCTCCACTCGGTCAGCCAACCCTAATTGTCCAGAAACCCTCACTCCTAAATGAGTCAAGGGCAACTGTAATGCGCACACAATCACTCACACGTATCCTTTGTGCAGAGAAACATACATAGGATGCACATAGGCAGATCATGAGACAACAGGCCACTGGGCACAGACATGTAAAAGACGTCCCACCACTTCTACATAGTAGGAAGACTGAAAGAGACACTAAATGTCTACAAACAACAGGGCTTGTCTCTGTGTGGTAATTTTCTGTGTTTTTTGACAAACATTTTGTGTCTCTTTGTCTTTGTCTTAGTCTTAGCGGCGGTTTTGTGTCTCACGTAGCTCTTTGTCATTGTTTTATATCTATTTGTAGTTGTTTTTTGCTCTTTGTGGTAGTTTTTCATCTCTGTAGTTGTTTATGTATGTGTCTCTTTGTCGTTCATTGCCTTTGGTTGCTCTGGTTCATCCATGCACTAATGCTGGCATTTTCGCAGCAGTGAGGAATGTTGTCCAGTCTTGTTGTTGTCCATTGTTAGATGAAGGAAAACCTAGAGGACAATATGCAAACATCTAGATGCTTCATAAAGCGGATCTCCTCCAGCTCTGGCTCAGAAATCTTCTGTTAAAAAAGACAATTCATCAGAGTTAAAATCTAGGATTCTTTCATATGTGTCAAAATCAGATGTTTGTATAAGAATTATCATGGGCTTTGGAATGATAAATGTTTTCTATTTGATGTCATCAATGTCTGGCACTCCTTTTTTATTTCTTCTGCAGTCTCTTTTCCCCCCAGTCCTGGCAAGAAACAGTATTTGGGGAGAAACCAAACATTGAGTTCAGCATCAGGGCACACTTTCAACTCATGTGCCAATTTGGAAAGAAGAGATTTTTTTGGAATATAGAACAAGTACAAATTACTTATGTAGGGCTACAGATAGAAGAGGAGGGGGAGGCGGCGACAGAGCAAAAAATAAAGATTAGAGAACTAAGAACACTATTGTTGCTTTAAGTTTGTTCCAACATTGCCAAGAGGCAGTCAAGTGGATGAAGATCTTTTTCAAAGCTCAGCAACGAGAAATACAGTCTCATTGATTTGAACATGATAGAGGAAGTGAGCCACAAAGAAAAAAAGTGTCACTTAATGATACACACTTGACTTAATAGGGACAACATTTAATGGAGAGGGAGAGGGACAGAGAATACTTAGCAACTAAAATACGCTCTTGTAGTTTTGAATTTAAACTGATACTGATATAATGCAGCTGGAATGCAAAACCTTATTCTATTAATTTTTACTGGATAGTGTGGTAATAACTGAGCCCTGTGCCTGGTGGAGATTGCTATAGGAAAATTACAGTATGGTGCCCACTTGATGTTTTATGAATAGCACTTCTTCCAATGTAACATGGTCATCAAAACAGTTACAGTATATTCAAGCTGTAAACTGGAACGCAATATTAAGTAAATATTTACAGTTGGCTCCCAAACTGTGAGAGAGGCTTTGAGCAAGCTGCATTCAGTGAAATTAAGTTTGAGCTTGTTTTGACTGAATGAGTAGATTTGGTGTGTTTTTTTTTTTTTGCCACTGTCAGTTTCCTGACTGACGGTACAGAAGTTTGCTTTGACAACAAACACCAACTATGTGTGTGACAGCTCCAATAGACTCATTTCAAAACTTACCAAGAACTTACATTTCCCTAACTTCTCCTCAAGATTGTCTCTTTCTGCTCCTTTGTCACACATCCATGCAATTGAAAAACTGCTCCTTTTCACTGAATTTAATTTTTTTCTAGCTCAAGCAGATGTGCTTTCACTGCAGTTCATGACGTCCAGCGTGGGTTTATGTCTGTTTCCCACCAAATGTGTCTTTTTATTGAATTTGTGTGCATATATTCCACCTCTAAATATCCCTTTATGTTGTTAAATGCAACAGCAGCATTTACTATATTTGTTTGGAAAAGATGTGTTTGTGACATTTGGAGAAAGTCAGTGTTTCATTCAGGACACGCTCATGTAGACACTTCTTCTATTCATTTTTTATAGCTAAGGATCATCTTGTTAAACAAGCTAATTCATATTTTGACTTTATTTTAATTTTCTACCAAAATCTATTTGAACACTTACATGGATGAAACTTTTTTGCACATTTAATAACTAAAGAGCAATAAATAAGAAGTCTTCTAAACTCATATGTTGTTTTTGGCCAGACTACTATCAGGAACTCATTGTGTTCTATTCTCTGGTCTCTATTATGCAGTAACATCCCAACAATTCCCTTTTTGTTGTTATTGTATCTGAGTATTGATGAACATAATTATAGTTTTAAATGTTCCACAGGCTCACACCCAATCATTCAGAATAATTGTATTTAACATAAGTGCTTTTAACTGGCTCATTTGAGATTTTTGTGCTACTAAGGACATCAGTTGCTCATTTAGTCTTTGTATTCCACTCACTTGTTTATATTGTTGAATTCTAAGTCATAGCTTTTATTTAACATCACAAATCATTCTGCTTTCTCTACTGTCTCTCCCCCTCTCAATTCATCACCTTCATTGGCATGACCATTTGTCAGAACTAATAGCCAAAGGAAAACTTTTTAATGGCAGTTTACACCACCAAATAATTGTTTACACATCAAAATTTCACTTATAGAATAAATGCAAATGATTCAAAAGGTATATCCAGTATTTTAACATTTAAGTGTTTCTCTCTTTATCTCTTTCTCCAGAGTGGTATGGCATTGACGTATGATCCTACCGCCATGCAGAACGGGTAGGTGGAGCATTTTCTTCTCAGATTTACAAACTTTAGATGTCTGCGAACTTTACTTTTGATTGACATTCCCTGCCAAATATTTGTGAAGCACAACATTCCCAACTTCAGCACCTGTTTATGAGCCTTTACAGGGTGACACCTTCTCACACCAGCAAACCTGCAGAGATGAACACACACATCAGCCAACCATCAGCACTGATATACACAAGAGCACTTGCATGCAAATGAGCAGTCCACACACATACAGTATTCCAACAGATACAGGATACACAGGCCATTACCAAACACACACACGCACACACACACACACACACACTCTTTGTCTTATCCTATCGCGCTCTCGCCCTCATTCTCACATCTGACTGATGCACATGGAGCATTTATTTATGCACCTATGCATACAAGCTGTCAGACATGTTGGTTTTGATTGCAGAAGGGGAAGTTGGGCGGTGTTGCAGTGGCGCTGTAAGACTTTCGTCAGCCGAGGCTATCTGCATTGCTCTCAGGCTGAATGCGGAGAGCAGAGTGTCTGCCTGTTTCAGGGGGAAATTGGAGATCGGTCCTGTCTGCTAGGAATGCTGCTGGTGATGCGATCCCAGGAGACGCTTCCCTCCAGCTCTGTGTTTCTCTTCTCCTCCTACTTGTCGGCTCGGTCGTCCTTACTCTTTGTGTCCCTGCTTTCCCTCTTCTTCTTAACTGTTACCCTGGTGTAATTTTTATTTCCCTTTACCTTGTTCATATCACCTTTAAATTATCTTCTGCTTTCCTGATCCTTATCCTACATTTCTGAAAATATTTTTCTCTTTTTGCTCTTCCCCTTCTTCTACATGTTGTTGTCTTTCCTAGTCCCTTTATTCTTCTAATTCCTACTCTCCATTTACAAGCAGATGCTGTACTTCTGGTCATCTCTTTTGTCTTTCTGAATGTGTGCATGCTCGTTAATGTGTTAATGCATGCTCACACGCGAGCATCTGTGCGCTCGTGGTGCTTAAGCCCTCTCCAACCTCTCTTCCGAGGTCATCGGAGCTCCTTCCGGCAAAGCACTAAATGACTGTGAAATGCTAATGCAGCTAATTAGAGAGGCAAAAGGCAGGGAGGGAGGAGGGTTGAATAAAAAGGGAGGGCTGGGCGGGGTCATGAGGAGGGCAAAGGCAAAAATAAAGTCAGCCCAAGGATAGGGAAAGGGCACGAATCAATTACAGGTTTGCGCGTCTGTCCAAGCTTGAGGACGGCTAGTTTTTAGGGTCTGATGCCAATCTGATGTTATTGGAAACATGTGTCCCAACCGGCCAGATTGCTTTGGCTTACAGCCTGTCCTCTCTTTTATCAGGGAAACACAAAATTCACTTTCTCTGGGTCTCTTTTTCTCAGTCTCCCGCCTCCTATCTGGTCTGTTTGCTGTCATTTTGTTTCTCCATCCTTCCCTCTCTTTCTCCCCCGCCTTTGTTCTTACCTCTCTTACTCTGCCTTTTCTATCTGTCCTCTCTTTTTTCTGTCCTCTCTCCTGCCCACACATGCACATATATTTTTTAGCATGCTCCCCCACATTTCTCCGCTGAAAAGTCACTGAGGTCGGCACTAAATCATTTGCTAATTTTTCAGGGCAAACTCCTGACAGTGCGGCTAGGTCACACCAGGGATTCACAGAGAGGTTTTAAATTTAATCCCTTAGTAATGTTCTGTTCGCAATTACATGTTTAGTGTATTGTTTAAACAGCCGTGCTGGAGTCCCTATTGACAGCGTGCTGCTCAGGACTAATAGCCTCCATCAATAACCTTGGATCTGTCCTCTATCTACTATTTCTCTCTCTCAATACACATCACTCTAATGAAAAATACAATAAACACAATCAGAGAACCATATTGAATAACCCGGCTGCATTCGCTCATTTGTATTCATCAGTGACAGTAATACAGTATCTCTAATGCAAGTCATACATTAATTGCACAGTCAAAAAAAGATGGATCCATACTGCTACATGATCAGTAGAAGAGAAAACATAGAGGTTTTTTCTTCTCGTCGCTGATCACTACTTTGACAAACACATGTCTTACTCCAACTTAGATCCATCCACTATCTGTTCAGACTTTTCAAGTGATGTATGAGGCTGAAACATATCATTAAATGCTCAAAGACAAATGTGATTAGATAATTTATTTGAAGAAAACTCAAGGAGACATTCAGGTAAGCCAGAGTTGAAAGTTGCTGAAGAAAAGATAAAGAAAATCTATGTCTCTTCAAGGAGTTAAAGAGGAATCTAAGCATGTGGAGCCAGTGTCAAACACCTAAGATAGAATACACAATCAACCTGTGTATAATCCAGAGCTGAAACTTGGCAAGAGAAATTATATAGTGCCAATAATTCATGAAATTCCTTTTTCTGGTGCCAAGGAAGTGAACCACATTGAATTGTGGAAAAGAAGAGTAACCATTGTAGCTCTACTCTTTATGTGCAACTGCTTGGACTTTAATACACAAAATGGAGCATAAAAAATCCAACAGAGGAGCTTGATGTCCGTGTGAAGCACAATCACGCTCTGGAGCTTATCGCAGGCAGTTGGAAACCAACTGCATCCACAAGACCCGGAGTGCAATAGTTTAAAAATATCTGAGGGTTTGCATCTTGCAGCTGAGTTCAAAACTGCTCACGCTATCACTGACTGAACAAATGTAATGTGAAACAGAAAGTGCAATAACAGAACAGGTGAGCACCCCGGCAACCCATTTCACCCTTGAGATGAAATGTGTGTTGGTGTCACAGTGGAGTAGCACCAATCCATCCACGTTTTCCTGCCTTTGGAGTCTGACTGTCATCTCAGTTGAAAGAACAGAGTGAATTTTGTATGTTCTATTATGTGTGATACAAATATTTAGAAATAAAATACAGCAAATGTTAAAGAATATTATATTTGTCAGAAGTAGTTTGAAGTAACCTTTAAAAGTAAACCAACCATGTGTTTGTTATTTAAGTACTTTTCTCCCCCAATTAAGCAACTCTTGATTTGTGGCAAGTAGCTTTTCATTGCTGTGTTAGATATAGAGGTGGGGGAGGGCCTCTCTCTGTCTCTGCCTCTCTCCCCCTCTCTTTCTCCCATCCCTTGCTCCATTATTCAGTCAACAGACACTTTGGGATCGATCGGGCACAGCAACACGGCCTGGCGGATGAAACATGTCCTCTCTAGGTACACAATGATAAATAAAGCACTGCGAGCCACAGCATTCTACCGCCGCAGGGTTGAGGGGGTGAAATGAAAAAAAAAAAAAAGAGAGAGAGATGGAGCAGAATCAGAAGGGCAAACAAAGGTACAGGAAGAGAAGTAAACAGAGTATCAAATGCAGATGTTTAAGATACAGCTTTCTCTGCCAAGTGGAATATGTTCGTGGGTGGGAACATACAGGGTAATGTTGAAATATTTCACCCACTCACACATTAAGGTGATAATTCATTATTATGCACAGCAGTGGAGCAGACTCCTTTGTAACATGATGTGTACTCCGGTGCGGTGTCAAGTCTCATTCTAAGATGTCTTTGATGGTGTGGCACAGAGTGAAGCTGCAATATTTATTGTTTCCATGACAGCCTTGATGATGTCTGATCCATTTTGTCAGTGGTGTCTTGAAGTTTACTGGGTGGTTGAAAACAAAGAGGTACAAAAGGCTCATTTTCACCTTTGCATGGGGCTACAGAGTGCTCAGACTGTACATGCAGAGAAGCCTCTTCACTGATGTTACATTGTGTCAACATTGTCTTTTAACATGGTCTTGGTTCAGTTTTATTCCACTTCCAAGTTTGATGATATTGATGATGTCGAAATTGAACCTTTTCTCGTTTGCTTCCTTAGGTTTTACTCTTCACCATACAGCATCTCCACCAATCGGATGACATCAATCACACCCTTCATCGCTGCCTCTCCTGTCTCTACATATCAGGTGGGTTGACCTTCTTCAAAGTTTGCTGGGGTAGACCAAGCAATGAAGGCCTGTAAGGGCTTTAGAAATGGATAGGGGCATCTTGATCAGCCCATTGGAACTGTCTGTCTAATAAGGTACAGAAGTTGTGTGTTTAGATTGATTTTTGTTTTGATCATGAAGCAACTACTGCAAAGTACCTAGATTCAATCATCAAACATGCATTTTGACTTTGCTAGCCAGCCAATAGATTTAGCAAAGCAACTAATGTTCAAAGACAGACAGAGCTCCAATATTGCATTCCACAGGGAAAAAATGCAACCGATAGCATAGTATCTTAAGTAAAGTTAACAACTCAGTACAGAAATACATGTGGCCAGAGTTATAAATCAGTGGTTGCAAAGGAAAGGTCTGGTGATATTCCATATTTTTGTCAGCAAGACTAAAACCAAAACTAAGATGGTCCTACTTACAAATATTCTCTGTGTTGACAAAGCCTCGATTGTTATCAAAAAATCAATTGCTGCACTGCCTCCTTCTTTACATTTTAAAGAAGAGCAAAGAACAGAACTGAAGGCTTTTCTTGATGGAAAAGATGTTTGAGCTCTTCTCCCGACTGGTTTCGGCAAGAGTTTGACTACGTTACATGGTTCATTGATTGACAGATGGTTGATCCAATCACCTGCCAAGTTTTTTTTCTTTAAAAGTGCCTGATCTTTTCAAAACAGTTTCCAACAACAACTTCTCAGATGGGTCTGGTATGTCAGGTTAGGGATTTTCTGGCAGAAAGAAATATATAGAATAACAGCTGCCTCATCTTGAGGGAAGTTATGTGGGAACAGGGCTTTTGAAATAAATTTAACTCAATTCACTTTTATTTGTATAGCACCA